GGGTTTCCCCGTAAATGGAGGAAGCCAAGCTTCCTGTACATCCTGGCTGGCCCAAGCCATTGCTCAAGGCTACAAAGTTTCAATTATAGAAGATGAATAAATTTCAACAAAAATTGCTGTGGCCAAGAAGCAAGCTGGAGGGTTGGGTTTCCCTGGTTATGGAGGAAGCCAAACTTAAAGCCAAACTTCATGGCCCGCCCTGGCCTCCGCTCAAGGCTACACAGTTTCAATTATAAAAGATAAATCCCAGATATCAGAGCCTCCACTTGGGTAGCCAGGGTGTATGGCCAGCCTGCAAACCACCACAGGCCCCTCATCCAGGCCACCCCACACCCCAAGGGAACCCCCACCCTAATCTGGTACACCCTTTAGGGCAAACCAGCTGGCCCCCACCCAAGCACCAGGCTTCTATCCTACCTAATAAAAGAATAATATGCAGATTGACCATTACTCCAACACACAAGATGGCTGCACCCATGTGGACACAAGATAGCCGCCACAAGATGTCCAACAGGGTAGAGTAGGTAGAGGTGTTCATGCCTACAGGGAAGGCAGTTAAGGAGGGAAGAGGAGGGAAGTTGGGGGCGACTATGCCTGCAGGGAAGGGCAGATGGGGGGGACCAGGCCTACAGGGGAGGGCAGTTAGGGATGATCAGGCCTGCAGGAGAGAGCAGTTAGGGGCAATCTGGCTGGCAGGGGAGCAGTTAGGGATCAATCAGGCTGGCAGGAGAGTGATTAGGGGCAATCAGGAAAGCTGCAAGTGAGCAGCTGAGAGCCAGCAGTCCTGGATTGTGAGAGGGATGTATGACTGCCCGTTTAGGCCAGGATCAGGCCTAAATGGGCAGTCGGATATCCCTCAAGGGGTCCCAAAGTGGAGAGGGTGCAGGCTGGGCTGAGGGACACATACTCCCCCCATGAACAAATTTTGTGCACCCAGCCTCTAGTCCAATATATTAAGCATAAAGCATTGATATGTAAAATAGTGTGGTAAGAATATAAACCAGATAGAGGATATTCATAAATTCGAAGAAGACAATAAGTGAAAGTCAAAGGAACTGCATTGTGCCAAAAAAAGGCAATAACTAGAGAGCAAAATATAGTAAAAGGCTGCAATATTCCTTTAAAATGGAAAATTACTGCCCCTTAAAATCAACATTTATTATTTCATCCAGAGTATGTCCTATTGGGCAAGGCAGTTTACCATGGGCCTAAGTATCCCTGCACATTCTTTTTCTTTTTTTAAAATATATTTTATTGATTTTTACACAGAGGAAGGGAGAGGGATAGAGTTAAAAACATAGATGAGAGAGAAACATGATCAGCTGCCTCCTGCACAACCCCTACTGGGGATATGCCCGCAACCAAGGTACATGCCCTTGACTGGAATCGAACCTGGGACCCCTTAGTCCACAGGCCGGCACTCTATCCACTGAGCCAAACCATTTAGGGCTCCCTGCACATCCTTGTTGAGGGTGACAGATTGCAAAGCTTATCCATTTTCTGCTACTGAGTGGATTATTGTAATAAGTCCCCTACGTAAAAGGGTTACAACATTAACTGCCCTCTCAGACAAAGGTGAACTAATTTGTTGTTTGCTACACTGTTTTTTGCTTGCTAAAAAAGTGCTAGCCCTTGCTCCTGAATTCTTCAGGTGTGATCCATTAATGTATGCATTTAGACTCATCACCCTCATGGATCCTGTGGCAAGGTAAGCCTGCACAAATATGCTGATGATGATGCAGCTTGCTGTGCTATGAGTAATAATGTCATTTATTTCTGACGTGGAGAGTCTCCTGTTTTCTGTAAGCAACCAAGAAACTTTAACCTACTTATTAGCTTGTAAATAAAGTAAAATAAAATCTTAAGATTTTTTCAGTCTTGATATGAACAAAGAACAAGTTGATATTCAGGTTGCTAAATAAGAGACACAAAAATGGTCATCAGCAAAAACTGAAATACTTTTAATATTTTATAATTTATTTACTTGACATTAATCATAATATTTGTTTTTCTCTCTACAGCATAAATGTAGTGTACATATATAGTATATGTAGTATATACTATATATATACATTCATATATAGTAGTATATTACATTATATAACTCATAATAATCCTAATGAAGCCAAGGGTTCACAAATTGTAAAAAACATATTCTAAATATAAGCCCAGATGACTTTAACATATTTTTTTAAATCATTAATAGTCAACCTCCTTCCCAGCTGATTTATCAAGGGTAACTAATTCTCTATCTGAAAGAGCAAAATATTTAGATCTTTATAATATGAACACTTCATTATGTGCATAAAAAACTAACATTTTGGAAATGTTAATATAAGCTTAATATTTTCTTTCAAAATCTGTGGCCAAGGTTTAGGCTAGGTTAAACAAATCAAAATGGTCATATTTAAGAATTTCTCATTGTTTTAAAATGCAAATATATGTTTTATTATGTTAACATATGTTACAAATCTAAGACTATTTTCATCATTCTGAAATTTAGACAGGTAACAATCAAGGCTTTTTGTAGCTCTACACAGTTATCCACTGCTTTACTTAACAAAATTCAGACCCATTTAACATTGGAAGGGAAGAGACCATGGAAAAATGCTTCCACATAAAACTTGTGCATTGGTTAATGGTAGTAAGTCATTTTGATGGTCCTGGGCACCTATGCTAACTCTCCAATATGGAATACCAAATTTTAACTCTATCAATAAGTGATACATTAACACTGCACACCTCACCTCTAAGCATGCTTGCCTATCTCCAACTTTACAACTTAAATTGTTTATTAATCTTTCCAAAAAAAAAAAAAAAAACTGAGCTAAAGGCAGCCACACAAGTTGTGTTCATCATATAAGCCACAACTACAGATTGGTCCCTAGATAATAGTGTACTTGAAACCAATTCAGCTGCTTCTCTGGCATACACTTTGTTAGTTATTGATTAGGCCGTTTTTAACAAAACCAGATGAAATTACTAAGTAGTAATAGGAATTAAAATCCAAATTCAAACTATGCTAAGATTCTCAACACTTTGCCTTCAAGGAAAACAAATAGGTTGCCCTCTCTACTTAAAGTGACTAGTATCTTTAGAACTGATTTTTGCCTTCTACTCTGAGGGAATGTCACCACACATTCAAGGTCTATGTAGGACATATTTCCAGTTTGAAAACAAAACACACACAATATGATATTGTCCACTTATATTGAAAGGTGGTTTAGAGGGAATAAAAGCCTTAAAACAGAAAAAGCAAATTTCAATACTTTGGTGTTAGAAATTTTTAAAAACTAATAGTTAAGTAAAGTTTTAACTAGTTATTATCACTGAAAGCAAATGTGAAATATAATAAATTATTTTAAGGCACAGCTACATCAGTTAAAAATGTTTTGAGTAGTGATTTGTGCATGAGAACATGGTTAATTCTGATAAGCAAAATCCCCAAACAGAAAGAATTCAAATCAGCTAATGCCATTAAGGAAAACAAATAGGAACAGGAAAAAAAAACAAGATTAAAAAAATAAAATAAAATAAAAGTCCCACTGGCAACAGACTCAATACCTACTGCATTTTATTTTTGTTAATGTCTGCAAAAATAAGAATGTCTTTTTTAAAAAATAAAACTACCAAACCCATATACACTGACAACTTGAAAAATGCCTTACATTTTGGCAGCAATATTTTCCAAACTGTCCTGAAAAAAAATTTTTTTAAAAAGGTAAATTTCCAAAGAATTCAGAATATGGATCATTTGGAGGTTTTACAAGATGTAAACCAGATGAAATGAAGTATCATGAGCTCTTAGAAAAATGCAAACTTACATACATACACTTAAGATTCACCTTTCAGGAGCCTTCCTATTTCTCAAAATGCACTTAATTCAAATTCTTAGTTCACAACTAACTTTCACATGTGCAAGTAGATTTGAAAGGTGAAATCTCCACTAACATATATACATTTGTAAAATGTCACAGAGCGCCATTTAATTGCGCCATAATGTTTTTCTCCATTCTCAGTAAAATAGGCTTAACGAAATAACTACCTCAAAGTTTACAGAATAACACGCTACGTAGCTGCAACAAACTAGTCAACTATTGCTAGGTCCATTTAAAAAAAAAAAAAATAGGGTTTACAATAAGAATCTCCAATGACACTACCAGAATACTAAAGGGAAAACTACATGAGACAACATGACACCGAAAATGGAACACTCATTTCAACATACAAAGGTTCATAAGGTTCAACTGGAAAAAGATATTTTTTTTCCTAACAAGATTAGCACTTTTCTAGTAAAACTCCGTTTCCCCACCCGCAAACATACATACATTACATACACACATACGTTACATGCATACATACACGTACATACGTACATACAGACATACAAAATACGGGGATAGAAAAAAGAAGACAGTCACTTTCAATACTAACAATAAGGAAAAAGGACAAAATGACAAGGTGAACTGGAGCTCGGAGACCAGATCCGCATCGCGACCGCCCTCCACAGCCGCACCGCGTCCAAACCCACCATGGTGTGCCAGGCGCCCCTCGGACCGCACCTTGAAAGCCTGGCATCCCCCCCCCCGCCCCCACTCCACTTATGACGCCGCCGATCACCTTCCCGGCAGGTACGTGAGCGGCAGACAATCAGGTGGAATGTCGCGGGAAAGGCTGGGTCGGGGAATGAGGAAACGATCGGGGGAGCGAGAAAACAGAGAGAGACGCTCAGACGGAGGGATGTGGACCGCGGTGCACGGGGTGGCGGTGAGGGGCCGGGGCTGCGCTAGGAGACCAGCCGGAGGGCAGGGTCCCCGAGGAGGGCACAGACAGGCTCCGCGGGAGACGGGAAAGCAGCGGGTCCGGCCAGAAGGGAAAAGGGGGGAAAGCCAGCACATCCCCCTCCGGGAATCATCCGAGGGCGACGGTCCCCGGGCCCCCGGACCCCCGGCGGCGGGACGGCGCAGGAGGCCGGGCGGGGGCGGCGGCCGGGAACTCACCACCTGGTAGCGGCCAGTGCCGAGCTGGTGGTGGTCCATCCTGCTCGGTTCGGGGTCCGGCTTCGGAGCCGGCGGGTCCCCTCGGTGCTCAGCCCCCTCGGCCCAACCCGTAGACGACGTCTCCGCAGGGGCCCTTCCGCCTCGGTTGCTGCTGCCGCCGTCGCGGTCACCCGATCGGGCCGCCTCACTTCCTGTCGCTGCCACCGCAGCCGCAGCGACCTCCGCGTCAGCAGCCGCTCGGCGGGGCTCCCGGGCGCCGCGCGCGCTACTGCGCATGCTCTGCCGGCCGCGCATGCTCGCTGGGGACTGCGGCAACCCGGAGCGCCGGCGGCGAACGGCGGGGGCGTTGGCCGGGTGGGAGGGGAGGGAAAGGAAGGCAAGGCCGGGCGCTGTCTAGGTGTCAGCCTGTCCCGAGTGGGCGACGGCAAAAAGGAGCGGGTGGGGCGAGCGGGGGGAGGTGTCGCCGTCCTTGATTGGTCTCTTGGCGCAGGCTGGTGCACCATCACGCCACGCGGAAACAGGCGGCGAGAGGGGAGGGAGGGAGGGAGCCTCCGCGTGCCTAGAACACCTGAGGACGTGCCGCCCGTTTACCAGCGCTTCCCCTTATGGCTCACCCAGCTCCAGGATATCTTATTTAAGCCCTCATTCAAAGTCACTCGTGAGATTGGCTTGTTACGGTTGGATTCCCATTGAGGACCCCTGCTCAGGTTGCCAGCCGGGTCCCCAGTGTGGGGGGGGGGGGGGGGGGGGGTGGCGTTCGTGGACGTTTCTGGCTCCCTTTCTATGAAATCAATAAAAATATGCTTAAATCATTAGTGAGATAAGAGGTATCTTAAAAACTGTTGTTGTTGTTGTTGTTGTTTTTCTTGGTAGGAAAAGATTTTTTTTTTAAGAATCTAGCAAGGACTCTTCAGCCATATTCACATATCTCACCAAGGAAAGAGGCCTCTGGGGTCCTAATATATAAGACAAGCCGATCTAATAAAAGAATGATATGCAAATTGACTGTCACTCCAACACAAAATGGGTGCCCCCAGGGGGACATAAGATGGCCACCACAAGATGGCAAGCAGGGGAGGGCAGTTGGGAGGGACCAGGCCTGCAAGGAAGGGCAGTTGGGAGCGATCAAGAATGCAGGAGAGGGAATGGGGGGATCCCAGGCCTGCAGGGGAAGGCAGTTGGGGGGACCAGGCCTGCAGGGGAGGGCAGTTGGTGGTGGGAAGACCAGACCAGTAGGGAAAAGCAGTTAGTGGCAATGAGGCTGGCAGGAGAGGGCAGTTGGGGGGACCAGGTTGGCAGGGGAGGGCAGTTAGGGGCAATTGAGCTGTCAAGGGAGCAGTTAGGCATCAACCAGGCTGGCAGGGGAGTGGTTAGGGGGTGATCAGGCTGGCAAGCAGAAGCAGTTAGGGGCAATCAGGAATTCAGGCAAGTGAGCAGTTGGGAGCCAGCAGTCCTGGATTATGAGAGGGATGTCCCAGATTGGAGAGGGTGCAGGCTGGGCTGAGGGACACCCCTCTCCCCCGGTGCACGAATTTTGTACTCTGAGCCTCTAAGTATTAAAATAAGATAGGATCATTTTGTGGTCACACATCAACAGTTCCCAAGAGTTTAACAGCAAGGAATCACTTTGTAACACTGAAAGATGCTATTGGTGTCACATTAACAATGCATGGTCTATGTCAACATAAGAAATGTCCAAACTTGTGGAGAATTTTTATAAGAGTCTGTCTGAGCAGGCTTGACAACATATGTTGGGGAGCAAGATCTCAAATGTTCTGGAGAATATTAGGGTGGGTTGTTTTTTTTAACATTAAATCTTTATTGTTGAAAATATGTTCCCTTTTTTCCCCCATTGACCCCTTTCTAGCCTGCCCCCTTCCTCCGCCCCACCCAGGCCTTAAGGAGGGGACATAAAGAAGGTTGGAGAAAGCAAGGTGGGGATTGGATTATAGGATATTTAACAAAATTATATGCTCTCTTAAGGGTTAATACCCCCTTTAAAGGGTATTACTTTTTGTTGTGTTGTTAATCCTCACCTGAGGATATTTTCCCATTGATTTTTAAAGAGAGTGGAAGGGGAATGGTAAGAGAAACAAGGCTGTGTCAGACACATCATTGATAAGCCTGCCACCAAATAAGTGCCCTTGACTGGAATCAAACCTGGGATCTGGGCAGAGGCTCTATCCACTGAGCCAAACCGGCTAGGGCTGAAGGGTATTAAACAGGTGTGTTAACCTAGATTCACAAGAACAATGGACAGAGATGGCTTAAAACCTTTCACTAAAATTATATGCTTGGGGTATGACTACCCCACATGACCTGCCCAGTTAAGAATTTATGATCAGATCACCCTGTGAGGTTACTTTCCATGGAACCCATTGTTTTCATCCACACTAAGATATTTTCAAGATATCTCTCAGCTCACTAATGATTTGTTTTATGCATATTTTGTTGATTTCAGAGGAAGGGAGAGAGACAGAAACATCAATAAACGCCCCCCACTGTGTATGTATCACCTGCAGGGCATAGAGCATGTTTCTCCAAGGAGGAGAAGAGTATGATGGGCAGCTGAAACTGATTTGGCTCAGTGGATGGAGTGTCAGCCGGCGGAATGAAAGGTCCCGGGTTCGATTCCAGTCAAGGGCATGTACCTCGGTTGCAGGCACATCCCCAGTAGGGGGTGTGCAAGAGGGAGCTGATCAATGTCTCTCTCTTATCGATGTTTCTAACTCTCTATCCCTCTCTCTCTTCCTCTCTGTGAAAAATCAATAAAATATATATATATATATATATATATATATATATATATTTTTTTTTTTTTTTTTTTTTTTTTTTTAAGAGTATGATGGACAATGAAAAGTACCTTTTAACCCGAAGACCTGCTTTCTGTAGTCTGAAAACTGTGATCCTACATGATCTGGCCCAGCTATCATTTTTTTTCATTAACTATTGAGTAACCAAAGGGGATTCCTGGAATAAAGAAGGCCAGTGGATGAACCTGATGGGCTAGGTAAAATAGCAAAAATACATTAAAGACAAACTTATTGAGAAGTCAACAACTAAAAAAATGTAAGCCTTCCTGGTAGTTCTTTTCAAAGCCTTCATCAGATCAGTTCTTCCTATGTTTTCCATCTTAACACATGTGGTGGTTGAGAGCATTAATAACCTACAAATATTAAGAGATAATGATTCCATATTTAAATTTAAGCTTGCTTTCTTTTGAGCTAACTTAATGTATTTTAAATTCTAAGGTAAATATATGACATTTCCTTGTATTACTGTACAAGAGTTCATCCTCATAATTTCACCCCAAATGGTATCATCTTTCAATGATTAAAACAATAACCACTGATAAAAAAAATATATTAAGAAAAATAAAAAAGAGCATATATCATTTTGGAAAAAAAATCCACACAGGCCAATTTCAGCAAAATGAAACTGGATTCCTACATTGCTTATGGTCTAAAGAGTACATTTAGAACTTACTTTTATGTGTACTTTCATTTTCATTAATCATTTATATGTCCATTTGTTTTTCAAATAAACTGCTGCTCAGGGTAGCGGCCATATATTTACACCTAGCTCCTCACACAGAACAGTGCTGAGAACATAGTGGTGAAAAACAGATGTGGCCCAAAGCAGACATGTTGAATCCTGTTAGAGTGAATGTTTTGCTAATCTGGAGAGCAGGTGACAAAAGTCAACTGGAGAAAGAGGAAGGAGAAAGAGAAGTAGAATAACAGCTAATAGGTATTGAGCCCTTCCCAAGTCAGAGATTGCATGTGTTGCAACATTTCATCCTCATAACAACTCCATGATGTTGGTACAATTGCAATCCTTGTCTAACAAATCAGGAAACTGAGGCATTGAAGGTTCAGAAATCTGTCCAAAGCCCAATCACTAGTAATTGTTGACACTCCAGAACCTTCACTATGTTGAGCACTATGCTGTAATACACTCCCCTTATCCTCCTCCACAAAAACCTGGGTTTTTCTGTCCATCACTACTGTGAAACTTGTGGTGCATCAGAAAGAGCCCTTCTGGCTTTCTTTAATCCTTCTTGATTGTTATGAAATAAATTATTCTCATCATCCCCAAGAGCCACTCTGAGCTCACTTTGCCCATTTCACAACTAAAGCAGTTTGACCTGTTATAAGCCATCACAAGCACAGGCCCTGAGTTGTCCCACTGGGAGCAAACTTATTTGGGATGAAATGGAAGTAACAATATTCTTATCATTTTGGAGGCCTTAAGCAACATCCAATATTTTTTTTAAAATATATTTTATTGATTTTTGTACAGAGAGGAAGGGAGAGAGAGAGTTAGAAACATCGATGAGAGAGAGTCATTGATCAGCTGCCTCTTGCACACCCCCAACTGGGGATATGCCTGCAACCAAGGTACATGCCCTTGACCGGAATCGAACCCGGGTCCCTTCAGTCCCCAAGCCGATGCTCTATCCACTGAGCCAAACCAGTTTCGGCAACATCCAATATTTTAAATCCCTAATCTGATGGTTCTAGTTACCTAAGGAGTTGATGGTCATGTACCACTATAGATTGCCCAGGTGGAATTTTAGAATTTTAGTGCACTTCGCTAAGAGCTCTTATTCTAGACTAATTTTCATCTCCAAATATTACTAGTGCCATACTACACAGTACTGGGGTAGATGTGGAGATAGGCAGCCTGGATTTCCTATCAAGAAAGCACTCTCTGTACAGCAGCCAGGATATGATGAACAACGAACTCCAGCTCTTTTGTAGGGGTTTCCTGTAGCTTTCAAGAGAGGTCATGCTATTTTCAGGGTGGCACTTGGCCATTGACTGAACAGGTGGCGGTATAGGCCTAGCTACTTTTGCCTGACATTGGACCTCTGTAAAGGGCCAACCTTTTCTTCAGCTCTCCCTGCTGAACTGGCAGGTGCTTTGTCAGCTCTGCAGTATATTGGGACAATTTTTCCTGCCCAAACCTTTTTACTTTCACAAACGTTAACTTCACTACAAATATCTCAAATTCATAACTTTATATCAGCATCTGCTTCCTAGAGAATCCAACCTAGACAAGTACCAAGATGGAAAATGATAGAACATTGCTAATATTATCAAAATTGTTAAATGACTACAACTTTTCTTTCACATCTTCAGAAAAGCCCTCAGTATCTTCCATTGTTACTATTTTCTTATGTGACATTTTATATCATACTACAAGATATCTTCACCCCTGGATGGGGATGGGGAAGGGAGTGGGGAGAAGAAGGGGGGAGATTGAGAAAAAAGAGAAAGAGCTCATGTTTA